GTGGATGCAGTATTACAGAGAAACAGTGTCTCATCCTGACTTCAGCTCTGAAATCAAACCCATCACACCTGAGAGAACTGAAGCTGAGCTGGAATAAACTAGGAGACTCTGGAGTGAATCACTTATGTGACGTACTGAAGGATTCACACTGTAAACTGGAGAGATTGAGGTCAGTAACATTCACAGACAAGAATCAAAATGATGAAAATCACTTTGTTTAACCCTTAAGCGCTGTTCAAGGTCTTTTGAGACCCCAAATGATGTTTGCTGAAATAAAATAAAATGTTCCCTTTAGCATGAGACTTTGTACGGTTGTCAACACTTGGTAGCTCTACAAATAGAGAATTAAACTGGATTGATATCTGGTTGTGTGTTAGTGTGAAATAAACAGTCACTCTCTGGAGACCCCACATTGAAATGAATGAGGAAATGATCAAATCAATACTTTTTCTTCTTCATTTATCAAATAAAATCAATAGATCCACCACAATTCAGACCACAAAACACACGAAAATGTTGCCTCAACACAAAAAAAGCTCTTTTTGTATAAAAACCTATTTAAAAAATATTTTTTAATCTATTTATATAAATTAAAAAAATATCATATATCCTTCAAAAAACTGCACAAATGTGGAGTAAAAAGATTAATAAACTGAGTAAAATTACATTTGTTTAAAAAAAAAAAGTGACAAAATTATGGTGATTGCTGGTCACTATTCTGCTGGCTGTGATGATAATTTAATGTCTTTTTAGATTTTAAAATAAAAGTTTTTATCATCAAGTGTTTGTTTTCCTACATTTTTACTTTTAGTTTTACAAATGAGGACAATCTTTGAAGAATGAACAGAAAATATTTTTGGTCATAATATTAAAATAAGATTGAAATAGTATAATATTCAGATTTGAAGCTTTGAAGTGTGGTGTGAAGTATTTGAATGTGGAGGGAGTATTTAGAAAGACAGTTCCAGCCCTGAGCACAGAGTGTAGCTCCGCTAAAATGATTCATGAATTCCAGTGATTTTCTTCTTTCTAGGGTCTTTAGACAAGACTGTTCAATCTCTCCGCTGCTTATCTGCTCGTCACACAGGTTCCTTCTTATGGAAATATGAGCTTCTTTTCGTTTTTGGAAATGAACAAAAAAAATTGCCAATTAGCCGATGACTACACTGTTTTGTTTTTTTTTTATACTTTTTTTTCTGAGATATCTGGTCTGAATCTTAATATGATCAAATGGCGGAGTAGTCTTTCTAGGATTAATATTTTTTTTCCTCAAAAATAGTTGTTTTTGCTCTATTTTGAGTGTACAGAGTAACTGTGACTCCTCCGCTAACTGTTCTCCTCCCAAAGTTTAGTTTATCCGCCATTACTGTTAGTCACGGCCATCGACCGCTGCTGCTTTGGGTTTAGAAGAGAACGTGTGCTTCTGCTGGATGGTAAAGTAAGTAAAGTTTCAAAGTCTAGTATTAATTTTCATAATATTCACCTCTGTTTTTAGCTCAGATCATTTTGTCATGTTTTTTTTTATATTTTAGAGAGCGCTTAAATGCACAGATATGTTATTAGTGTGCAGATATGTTATTTACAAGTGTGCAGTTTAATATAAATATGTCAGATAACTATGTTAGTTGTGATGGGCGATGTATAATTATGAAAGATTAATTGTTCAGGCTGAATATAGCCTGCGGGAAAACACTGTTCTTGTGCCTGGCTGTTCTGGTGGTCAGTGCTCTGTAGCGCCGGCCAGAAGGCACCAGTTCGAAGAGAGATGTTATCAAAAACACCGCAAAACACTAACACATACCCCAATATATACAGTAACATATGTATAATATATATAAATATAATTATATAATATAATAAAACACTTACTTGTTGAGAGTGATGTCTCCTCCATCCAAAAACATCTCCTCTGCTTCAATGGATGAAACATCGACGTAAT